ACATCACAAAGAAGCTGAGGAAGAGGTCAGGGTTACAATAATCGAAGTTCTAGTTTTCGAGGAAGAGGCGGAAGAGGTCCAGCCAGAGAAGGAAGAAGTCAAACACACTTTTCTCCAAGAGGAAGAGGAGGTGGTTACAACAACCGACCAGGATTTGACAAAAGCAATGTTCAGTGTTACCATTGTCACAAGTTTGGGCATTACAGCAATGAATGCCGAAGTAGAGCAACAACAGAAGCCGGAGAGCAACCAAATTTTGCCGAGGAGGAAACAAACAAAGTTGGACCTACGGTCCTGTTTGTCCACCATGGAGACACTGAAAACCAAAACAATGTTTGGTATCTAGATTTGGGAGCCAGTAATCACGTGGTAAAAAAAAGTTGTTCGTTGAGCTTGACGAGACTGTACAAGCAAAAGTCTCATTTGGTGATTCTTCAAAGACTCCACTGAAAGGAAGAGGCAATATTCCGATCAAGCTCAAGATTGGAGATCATGATTACATCTCCAATGTTTATTATGTTCCTGCCATGAAGAACAACATTTTGAGTATAAGACAACTCCTAGAGAAAGGATACAACATCAGCATGAAAGATTGTCATCTTACCATCAATGACAATCATGGTAATTTGATCGCTCGGGTGAGAATGTCTAAGAATCGGATGCTTGCATTGAACATCCAACATGATGCTACGAAGTGTTTAAGTGCCATCATCAAAGATGAAGATTGGCTATGGCATTTGAGGTTTGGACAGCTCAACTTTGGAGGCTTGAAGCTGTTGTCAAGCAAGAATATGGTGAAAGGGCTCCCTCATATTGCTCATACTAATGAAGCCTGTGAAAGCTGCATTCTTGGCGAGCATCACAGAACTAGCTTTGCCAAAAAAATGAAGTGGAGAGCAACAAAGCCACTAGAGTTAGTGCACACTGATGTGTGTGGTCCATTGAAGCCAATGTCAAATGGACAAAATAGATATTTTCTCACATTCATTGATGATTATAGCCGGAAGACATGGGTGTATTTTCTTAAAAGAAAATCGGAGGTGTACAGTATCTTCAAAGAATTCAAAGTTCTTGTAGAAAAACAAGGCGGTTACTACATCAAGACATTACGATCAGATCAAGGTGGAGAATATATATCAGATGCTTTCGAGAATTATTGCAAAGAGCATGTAATCAAGCATCAAACAACACCATCCTATACGCCACAGCTGAATGGTGTTGTTGAAAGGAAGAATCGCACAATCTTAGATATGGCAAGGAGCATGTTGAAAGGAAAGGGACTGCCCAAGCAATTTTGGGCTAAAGCCGTATCATGTGCTGTATATCTACTAAATAGATGTCTAACCAGGAGCCTTCACTCTATGACCCCAGAAGAAGCTTGGAGTTCTCATAAGCCAAGTGTCAATCATCTCAGAATATTTGGATGTGTTGCGTACACCAAGATTCCAGAAGCAAGAAGAACCAAGCTCGATGATAAAGGAGAAAAATGTATCATTGTCGGATATGGAGACAGAATAATGGGATACAAGTTGTATAATCCAATTACCAGAAAGGTGATCATGAGTAGAGATGTGATATTTGAAGAAGAAAAAGCTTGGAATTGGAATCAAGATGAAGTTGTTAAAGATGCAGGGCTCATTCTTGAAGATGAAACATCAAAAGCTCCGGTTGAAATCACAAGAAAAGTTCAAGATGAGCCACAAACTCCTCCACATAGAATACCGGCATCTAGATCGCCAGTTTCTCACAGAAGTGATACATCATCATCATCATCATCATCATCATCATCATATGATAGTTTTTTCAAACAACCAAGACCAATGAGAAATTTACAGGAGATATGTGAAGCTACAGAAGAAGCAGATCTGAATTTGTTCTTCCTACTCGCAGATAGTGATCCACTTACTTTCTCAAAAGCCATCCAAGAAGATAAATGGAAGAAAGCAATGGATGAAGAAATTCGTGCCATTGAGAAAAATGACACATGGAAGCTTACAAGTCTACCGGAGGGGCACAAACCCATTGGAGTGAAATGGGTATACAAGACAAAGAGGAATGCACAAGGTAAAGTGCAACGCTAAGGCAAGGTTAGTGGCAAAAGGTAACAAGCAGAGAGCTGGAATTGATTATGGAGAGGTGTTTGCTCCAGTTGCCCGATTGGAGATTATCAGGCTAATGATTTCTTTGGCTGCCCAGCACAAGTGGCAGATTTATCAACTTGATGTGAAATCTGCATTTCTTAATGGTTTCCTTGAAGAAGAAATCTATATCGAACAACCTTCGGGGAATGTTCAGAATAGGTATGAAGACAAAGTGTACAAATTGAAGAAAGCACTTTATGGATTGAAGTAAGCTCCGCGTGCATGGAATACTAGAATTGATCAATATTTTCATGAAAATGGTTTTGAAAAATGTCCATATGAGCACGTACCTTATTTGAAGAAGGAAGCTGATGGAAGCATGTTGCTTGCTTGTCTTTATATTGATGATCTAATTTTCACCGGAAACAATCCAACCATGTTCAAAGACTTTAAAAGAAGCATGGTCCAAGAATTTGAAATGACAGATATTGGATTGATAGCTCATTTTCTCGGCATTGAAGTGGCACAAAAAAAAGATGGAATTTTTTTTTTGCCAAAGTGGCTATGCCAAGGAAATTCTCAAGAGATATGGAATGGAGAATTTCAATCTAGTGAACACTCCTGTAGATAGTGGAGTGGAGCTCAAAAAAGGTACAAAGGTAGGTGATGTGGATCCAACTTATTTCAAGAGCCTAGTTGGAAGCCTTTGCTATCTTACTTGCACCAGGCCAGACATACTCTATGGAGTAGGACTGATTAGCAGATATATGGAAACACCGAATCAGTCACACCTGTTTGCAGTAAAGAGAATTCTTCGCTACATCAAAGGTACAATCGATGATGGTTTATTCTATAAACCAACTGATAATTTCAGTTTTGTTGGCTATTCAGATAGTGACTGGGGACGTGACTTGATGAACGAAAAAGTACTACGGGATTTACTTTCTTTATGGGAGATACAGCCTTCACATGGTCGTTCAAGAAGCAAGCCATTGTGACATTATCGGCTTGCGAAGTTGAGTATGTTGCAACCAACTCAGCTGTGTGTCATGCAATTTGGTTAAGAAATGTGCAGAAGCGTTTAGGATTTCCACGAGAAAATCCCACTGAGATCTACGTTGATAATCGCTCAGCAATTGCATTAGCAAAGAACACAGTTTATCATGAAAGAAGTAAGCATATTGACACCCGCTATCATTTCATCCAAGAGCATGTGAAAAATAAAGAGGTGAAATTATTTCCTTGCAAATCTCAAGATCAGCTCGCAGATATTTTCACGAAGCCATTGAAAAATGATTTGTTCAACAGAATGAAAATGATGCTTGGGATGAAGCAGCATGGAGAATCAAGATTAAGGGGGGATGTTGTGAAGTAATCTTGATATAAAATTTTGTTTTTCCACCGGCCTAAGAATAGAGGTTGTAATCAAGTTTGTCAAAAGTGGAGGTTGCAAATCAAGTTTGTCAGAAGTGGTTGCAACCGTTTGAAATTCATAGCTTCAGCTGTATTTGCATTTAATGTTTTCACATTGTTAGTTTTATCTATATATAGCTATTGTATGTTGGGAATTCAGAGTGTGAGAGAAAGAAGAGAGTTAGAGAGTAAAAAGTGTGTTTTTCATTTCCTCAATGTATTCTAAATATTTGAGTGAAAAAAATTTATTTTTTAGATTATACATTCTCTCTTGTATTTGTTTTGTGAACCATCATAAGTGGTTTGCACTCCACTCCCACCAATAAAGAATAAAGAGTAATTGATTGCATACTTTAAAGACTAACGTGAAAAATTTTAAAGGTTAGGAACATCGTTTTTTTAGTTTCAAAGTAAAAAATTTATTATAAAAGCAAAAAATCTAACAAATTATACAAAAAAAAAAGTCAAAAATTTTCTTTTTTCTCAAAAAAATTAAAAAGTCATCCAAATATAATATTTTTTTTACCTCATATTTTAACCAAAAAATTAAAAAAAATGCTAAAATAACATATCCCAAACGAGGCCTAAAACATAGTAGATCACATACATTAAGGTCCATTAACCCTAAAAAAGATAAAATTTATAGAAGATTTATAAATATTTTTTTTCTTTGTTTTGAAGACCAATTAGCTGAAAGAATTAAAGGGTGCATGAATTTGACATAATGATAACACCAAAAAAAAAAAAAAAAAAAAAAAAAAAACCAGTGATTTTAATTTTTTTTTTATGTTAAAAAATAATTTCCATTTAAGATTATATATTTAAAAATATTTTTAAAAAATTATTTATAATCAATTTTAATGTTATTTTAATTATTTATATTCATGTATAGTTAAATTATAAGAAGGGTAAATAAAGTATTTTATAGAATTTAAAATTAGACTAAAATTATAAAAAATTGAACTTATTGATCATTAAAAAAGTTTACAAGGTCTTTTTATACTCAAAAAAAGAAAAAGAAAAAATAACCTATTTGTATAAAAAAAACATTTGTTCAACTTATTTGTATATATTCAATGACTGAAATCAACCCCTCACATTATTCGATTAAATTTTATTCTTGTAAACCCAATACAATCTTAGTTTCTTCCTATTAGAATGACCATGTTCACCTGTTCATGCAAGTGAATAGTTTCGATGAAATTCTTCTTCCTTAGGGTGACTAAGTTCCATCAAATCCGAATTCAAAAATTTTATGCAGAGCTTAGAACATTTCTGCTTCGAAAAAAATGGGTATTTTCCATTTTAGCTCAAGGCTTTTAACAAAATTGTTGTTCAATGAAGGTGTCTACATATCACCACGTATTCCATTAGTATTTATGCAATCTTTATAAGACTTATTATTATTTTTTTTAAAAGCTGGAAATGCCTCCATTGGTCTATTTTTATGCACTTGGTATTTGTTATGTATTCCAAATTTTGCAAATGACAAATTTGATTTTGTAGATTAGTACCCATAACTTGGATCAGGTTCGTAAATTGAAGAGTGCAATGACAAGGTTAACTGCTAGGGTTCAAAAGGTATAACTACTTCCTATCAGAGTTTCCTGGTTTTTTTAAATCATCAATATCCTTTCTTTTCTAATATGGTCAACTTTGCATTTTATTATTTAGTATTGATTTCTCTTATTCGGCGTTGATGTTTAAATGCTGAATGACTTGTGAAGTCCCGAATTTTGTGCTTTTGATAATAATTGAGCTTATAAGTCAATTTGATCTGTGCTCACAAGTATTTCTACCTGTAGGTGAGAGATGAGCTTGAACAATTACTGGACGATGATGATGATATGGCTGATCTTTACTTGTCAAGAAAATTGGCAGACGCATCTTCGCCTGTTAGTGGCTCGGGTGCTGCCAATTGGTGTCCTGCCTCACCTACCTTAGGCTCGAAGATATCTAGAGCAAGTAGGGCTAGTGTGGCAACATTTCGCGGAGATGAGAATGATGTTGAGGAGCTTGAAATGTTACTTGAGGTTATAACATTGACCTACTTCTTTGTTTGTTTGTTATGTCCTCTTAATTTTAGTAGTTCTTCTACTTGCATATAAATCAATCATAGAATCAGGCCAATCACGTGGGTGTGAAATCTATATCATGTGAGATAATTGTGTCCGGTTTAGTAATCATTTTCTGTGTTGTTAGACTTATTCCAATTTTAATGTCTTGGTGGTATATTTGCAGGCTTACTTCATGCAAATTGATGGAACTTTGAACAAATTGACTACAGTATGTTGCATAACTTGCATTGAATTCTGCTCACCAATTTGTATTGTTGATTATCAGTTTGTGGCAATATAATTATGATGAGCAATATAAAATTAGTGAAAACTTTCTTTGAATTTTTATTAAACACAATCAATTGCTAACTAGTCTCAATTTCTTAGAATCCTATTTACAGGAGAAGTGGCTTGCAAGCTATGCCACAATTTGAGTAATTACTTCCTAATAATGTCATGATCACAGAAAATAAATAAATAGGGAAAAAAAACAATTTTCTAAAATAATTTCGAATCTAAAATGCAAAAGAAATTTCTTTAAAAAATTCTAACTCAAAATGAATTTGATTACAATTTCTGAATTAAGTAATCATAATTTTCCGAAACAGTAAAATTTTAAATTTGAAGGCATAAACGAAGGAATTTGGCCAAAATTTACCGCCAGCCACTGCGTAGCTATAATTTGCTATAGTTGGGCTGTTTTGGATCGAATTTGGGTTTTTCAGCTAATCCAACAACATTGAAAATTTTATCAAATTACAATTTTGCTATCAAACTATCAAATTACTTCATGAACGTCCGCTAATTGTAGTAATTTCTTTTAAAATTGTAGCTTAGATTCTCTGGCATTTTTTATTGAAACCATCAAATTAATCTATCTATTTGTCTATTTCTGATTGAAAAATCCCCTTTGTTGCATCATCCGAATTGATCCATATTCTTAAATTTTGCAGCTGCGTGAATATATTGAAGATACAGAGGATTACATTAATATTCAGGTAATCAACTGGAAATGGGAACAAATATGAAAATTGAATTAATTGATCAATTTAAATAGATTTGGATTTGCTTTTGTTGTTCTAAATACACTCTCACGTTTCCATTTTCCAGCTTGACAATCATCGAAATCAGCTGATTCAGGTAATGTATCAATTATGTGTACTTTATACAATATTGAATACATTGATTTCTTGTTCTGTTTTTGTGTATTTGAAAACATTGTTGGGACAATACATTTATCTTATTATTATTTTTTTTTGCCTTGTTTGTGCAGTTAGAGCTTTTTCTAAGCTCTGCAACTGTTTCTTTGTCTCTTTATTCATTGATAGCAGGAATATTTGGTGTGAATATCCCATATACTTGGAACACCAAACACGCTTACATGTATAAATGGGTATGCATACAATTTTGATTGTACGAGCACAAAATCCGATTTACACAAAATCAAACATAACTCTCTCACGTGAAGTTTTTTTTGATTTTGTGATCTGATTTTGTAATTGATATAATTTTGAATGTAAGTTTTATTTCGGTTAATTTGAATGTTTTTCTTCTTATTGTTGCCAGGTGGTAATGGTCGCTGGGGCATTTTGTGCCAGTATTTTTATACTTATCATTTCCTATGCTCGCTACAAGGGTCTGGTTGGATCTTGAAATTTATAAATGAGTAAGAATTATTTAAATTACAGTAGAGGTCATTTTGTAAGGGATCTCCCGTTGGAAAGAAGTGCAGATGGATCCGTGGGTCTCGCAGGTTTCACTTTAGCAATTTGAACTATTTGTTTTATAAATCATTATATACAACATTGATTTTACAATTGTAGTTTCATATTTTTTTCTGAAAAAAAAAAAAAAAATTGATGGTCTATTTCATAATCATATACATATTTTGAAATAGACCCGATAAAATTATGTGGCGATGATTATTGGATCAATTGAATTGTTTCCCATAAATTTCATGAATGATCTACTCGTAAAGTCCTAAAAAATGAACAACTTAAGTCATTGAAATGAAATTTGTAGTGGGCTCCAAGTACCTATTGAGTTTGAATTTTCTTTTGATTTTTTGGACGGCTCTTATTAGCTATGTGACTTAATAAGTTCTGTCTCTACCTTTCACCACGAAATTTCAGATTGCAGAGAAGATCCAGAAGCAGTGTTGTTTGCAGCCTAACCCGTTTCGGGTGCGAGCACGGATAATTGTAAACAACTTTGTAGAGTCATATTTTACTCATTTGATCTTTCGATTTGGAGTCCCTTGTTATTCTGTTCTTTATATATGAAGTGGGGTCAATTATAGTGTCCTCTATTTCCGCATAATCTTGGTAATTATCTCTACTTAAATTGCTTTCCTTAAATACATGTAATGAAATAAGTTGTTTCTATCCTGATCAAATTCAAGTTGTTTCTATAAACCACGCAATCAGTGTAAACCATGTTTTTGAAGGTCTTCAGTCTGGGTTACTTCTAAATGTATTTATTTAATTTATTCTTTTAACGGTAATTATCTCTACTTAAATTGCTTTCTTAAATACATGTAATGAAATAAGTTGTTTCTATCCTGATCAAATTCAAGTTACCTTTTTGTTATTTTTAGTATGGATCTAATTTCAGAATTCATTATTGGTCTATAAACCACGCAATCTGTGTAAACCATGTTTTTGAAGGTCTTCAGTCTGGGTTACTTCTAAATGTATTTATTTAATTTATTCTTTTAACGCAAATATGTAAACCATGTTTTTGAAGGTCTTCAGTCTGGGTTACTTCTAAATGTATTTATTTAATTTATTCTTTTAACGCAAATACTTTTACAAATGGTTGTTAGATTATAGGTTTTTTTGGCTGAATAGATTATGTTAAAGTTATGTAAACCATTAGAAAAGTAAAAGTTATAATTTACGTTATATTTTATACGTGGATAAGTTACACACGCCTCACTTGAGGCTCGTGAAAAATTCAATTAGTTCTATAAATTTGATATAATTACATTGACTTATGTCATTGAAACTAAAACAAATGGCGGATAGGCAATAAAATAAAATAAAAAGATAAATTTACATTAGTAGAATACATATGACAAATTATTTTTTCATTCACACATATCATGAATTATTGATAAAAAATGATCCAAGTATTATGCGAATTAAAATATGAGGCACTTATTCATAAATCCGTCTTCATCTACTTATGTTTTACTTAGTCCAAATTATTTTTTTATATTTCAATAAATTTTACGGGTGACATAGTTATCAAAATATCTCTAATAATAATATTCACATTGACGGTGTGAATGCTCACATTGTCAATGTGAACATTTACACGTCAATGTGAATATTCACGTTATAAAATATGCATGTTTACAACCCCAAATTGCTAATTATTCAAAAAAAAAATACTTGTAAGGTTAAACATTACCTTAAATATGAGAATTAAGATTGGTAGATTAAGTGTCCAAATAATAGGATTGATTAGAATACAAGAATATGTTATGGACTAATTGAAATATAAATATTTTTAAAAAAAGAATTTCCTAATAAATCTTTCATAAAATATCTAGTAAGATAAATATAATTATATTAAAAATATGAAATTAAATATATTTTGTCTACATCTCAAAGAAAGGTCGGTGTAACTTGCCCTTCATATATTTCATAGTCAAAACATATTAGTCATGTCTGGTACTAAAAGCTAAAGATCTAATAAAAATGTCTAAAAAATCCTCTACTCACCAATATTTTGCAGCATATTTAAATAATTTTCTCCTCATATTTAAACCATAAACAAATGTTGCACTAGAATAATTCTTTTAAAAAAAATCCATATTCACTGCCCCTAACTATCTTTAAAAAGTAAAAATAAAAAAAAACCCCACCAAACGAGTAATTATCCAGTAATCTCAAAATATAAACATTTGATAATTCATAATATTATGATTGGCGGAGAAAGTAAGTAAGTGTAGTATTATGTTAGATGAATAAGAAATATGAGATAATATAATAAATTATGATTAGTTAGGATATAGGAATATATGATATTCCAAAAATATTTTATAATTTCCCAACCAGAGGTCGGCGATTGTCAACCTCCTCGAACATTGACCTCAATTTAAACAATCCCCTCCCTGTTCCTATCTCTTATGTCAATTAGTAACATGCGTGTATCCACTGGGAGTGGTGACCTTGCGGGAAAGGCAGTCATTTTCAAAGGGGTATGTCAGCTTCAACTCTTGGGCGGTGTCGCATGCTAGTTTTGTCTAGTTGACTCTCTTTGGCGATCTCATACTATACTCTGGTCAATACTTGATCTGTTCTGTAATACTTGACTGAACTCCATTGAATATTTTGGTGGCGAGTTTCTTCTTTTGAGTTGAGTTAAATCTAATAATTACCGGTTATCTCGAGGCCAAGACTTGTGATTTACGTAGCATTTTTTTTTAAAAAAAAGGGAGAAAAAAAAGAAAAAAAAGCGTGTATCCCAAACTAAATTATTTTAAAAATTTAAAAACCCTCTTCATATCCTTTTCTGCTTGAATCCCTCTCCCTCACTCTCTAGTGCTTCACTGTCTCTCGACATGCGATATATATTTACATAGATAGATACATATAATTTTGGGAATGCTTAGAGATAGAGATGGGAAAAGAGAGGAGCATTGTGGTGCTAGCGGATTCGCAGGCGGAGATGAAGAAGAAAGCGGGGAGTTGTCGGAGCTGGATTTTAATGGACGCGGAGGGGAAGAGCACGGTGTTGGATGTGGATAAGTACGCTATCATGGACAGAGTTCAGATTCATGCTCGCGATCTTCGCATTCTCGATCCTCTCTTGTCTTACCCTTCCGCCATTCTCACCCGTGAAAAAGCTATCGTCCTCAATTTGGAGGTGAAATTTCTTTCATCTATATATTTATATATTTGTGTCAATCTTATAATATTGATTCATTGATGCACTTATATTTGATCGGCATTGTTTGGCTATTTTTCTTTTTGTTTTCTTTGGCTGTGCAGCACATAAAGGCGATTATTACACCCGAGGAGGTAAGCTTTAATTCTTTTTTGTTATTCATTTACATTTTGCTTCTTGGAAGAAGTTTGGTAATTTGTTAAAAGAACAGTGCTATATTCCCTAATTCATAACTCCTATTTTAAATATTCCATAATTCATAACTTTTATTTTTACTTTTAATAAGGTGGATGAGAGATAATAGAAAGAGGTAGAGAGAAGCATGATGAAGAGTGCGGTCTTCTGATACATCACTCTTATTTTAACCTCTAATGAGATGAAAGAGAGAGAGGAAGAAGGATAAACAGTGAGAAGTAGGGTCCATTTCACATGATTAAGAGTGGATTATGGTTGCTCAGTTAGAGCTCCCAAGTATTTGTTTTAGCTAAAATTATCAAAAAATTATTGTAAAAAATCAATTTGATCTTTTTATTTTTATATAAGTTTTTTAGTAGAAATTATTTAGACAAAATCAAAGGGCTGGCCTTTGACGTGAACTCTACTGTGCAAGTTTGGTCCTTGAGATTGTCCATAAAATTTAGGGCAAAGTAGACCCACAGTTCTTATATTTTGGTTTTTATAACTTTAATTGATTTAATTTTAAATTTATAATTTTGTCTCAATTTAATTCAATTGATTATAATTGTTAGTATTTTTTTGATAGAAAATAAGCCCATAAGCGGTTTGTGTTATGCTTTTATATGCAAAATTGTAAATTTGTTTAATTCAGTGGGTTAATCTCAACTAATTCAGTGATCACTTTCCTCCAAAAACCTTAATCGGTGTTATCAATTAGATCAAATTGACACAAAATCTAAAATTAAGAGACAAAAATTGAGTTAATTGAAATTATGAAATGACACAAGGGGCAAAATACATGAATTACTAATATAATTTGTCCTAAATTTTATTTGGAGGGTTCTCTCGGTCCCTAATCAAGACTGGAGGGCACGATAATTCGAACCGTTCATTTTGTCGATCATTTCATGTATTTCATCCACATAAAAAAATTAAGCTAATCTGATAATCGTAACATATTCAATTTAATCCATTTGTCACCAAAAAAATGCACGATAGTTGTGTTTTTAAAAATAAATTATCAATTTATTCAAGCTACCTTAATTTTTGTTTTTGTTGTTACAAAATTATGATTAAATGGAAGACAACTTACATTTAAGTTGAAATTAGGGCTCTAAAAAAAATTAGTGGAACAAAATTCACTGTTTAAGACTGATCAAAATTTCAGTTTCAACTCCGCTACGTAGCTCGAAATATCAACGGCTCGAATAGCTCGAAATCCCAAAATGACGTCGTTTTGGAATTTTTTTTTTATTCTCTTACCGGTAAGATAATATTTTTCGTACCATTTGGGCCATTCGAGCTCTACGCATTCGAGCTCCCAAGCATTTTCCTTTCAGTTTTGGGTTGATTTTTTGCAAGGGAAGGTTTGTTTTAATGTTGAAAAATTAGTGGAACAAAATTCACTGTTTAAGACTGATCAAAATTTCAGTTTCAACTCTGCTACGTAGCTCGAAATATCAACGGCTCGAATAGCTCGAAATCTCAAAACGACGTCGTTTTGGGATTTTTTTTTATTCTCTTACCGGTAAGATAATATTTTCCGTACCATTTGGGCCATTCGAGCTCTACGCATTCGAGCTCTCAGGCATTTTCCTTTCAGTTTTGGGTTGATTTTTTGCAAGGGAAGGTCTGTTTTAATGTTGAAAAATTTACACTAATATCCGAGGGAATTCACCAAAATATTATATCAAAACATCTTTCATATTTTAATTTTTTAAGTATTAAAAGATGAGTGTGGCATTCCATTGTTTAATGCTGCACGTTTTACAATAAAAATTAGGGTAAATTACATATACATTACTTGAGATTTGTTTAAAATATAGATTGTCCTATATAGTTTTGGAAATTATATTCCGCCCTTTAAAATTTTTAATAGTATAACAAATAATCATTTTTATTAATAAATCATTAAGTCAATTATTATTTTTTTGGTTAAATTATGTCATACATATATTTTAATTAACAATTCAAATAATTTTATTATTGTAGTTATAACTTTTATTTTTTTAATTAATTCTTTTAAATAAAAATTTTGACAAGAAAATATTTATAATTTTCAAAATTATAGGAGGCAGACCGTATTTTAAATAAATGTTAGGAAAAATATTAACAATTTATCCTAAAAATTAAGATCAGAGATACAATTATTCATTGATTTGAGATACTATAAATTTTTAGCGTAAATTACTAATAAATTCTAATAGTTAGATTTAATTCTCATAAAATCCTATTGAAAATAAATCCTAGTAAAATCATCACTAAAAAAATAAAATTGTGAGAATTTTTTTGTATATATCGCTAAAAATTGACAGTTAGTGACTTTTTTTTTTGTCATGATTTTTATAAATTGTGGTTAAAATTTACAATTAGTGACATTTTTCTATAACGAATTTTTCAAATTATCGTCGAAATTTAAAATTTTGAAACTTTTTTTCTGACAATTTTTTGCATATTTGCTAAAACTTATAATTTGTGAAATTTTTTGTCACAATTTTTAAACAATTGCTAAAAATTAACAATTAGTGACTTTTTTAATTGTGTTTGATGAAAAATATTAATTATCATAGAGCCTATTAGACAATAAATCACTTAAAACTTTTTGTAAATCACTCATTTACACCAAGCCAAAAAATCAACAAAATTGATTTATTTTATTTTATTTTATATAATCAATTTCAGTTCTTCAACCAGTAAAAATGATCACTTTTATTAATAAATCATTAAGTCAATTAACTTATCTTTTTTTTTTCTTTTTTTTAAATTATGTCATAGATATATGTTAATTAACAATCCAAATAATTTTAATATTGTAGTTATGAATTTTATTTTTTATATTAATTCTTTTAAATAAAAAATTCTAATAAGAAAATATTTATAATTTTCAAAATTATAGGAGGCAATCCATATTTTAAATAAATGTTGGAAAAATATTTACAATTTATCCTAAAAATTAAGGTCAGAGATACAATTATTCATTAATTTGAGATACTATAAATTTTTAGGATAAACTACTAATAAATCATAATAGTTGGATTTAAGTTCTATCAAGTTTTATTGAAAATAAATTTTAGTACAATCGTCGTTAAAAATAATTTTTTGTGAGGATTTTTTTATATATTATTTAAAATTAACAATTAGTGATTTTTTTTGCACGATTTTTATAAATTGTTGCCAAAATTTACAATTAGTAACGTTTTTCTGTGACGAATTGTTCAAACTGTCACTGAAAATTGAAAATTAATAACTTTTTTTGGACTATTTTTGCATATTCGCTAAAATTTATAATTAGTGATATTTTTTGTCATAATTTTTAAACTGTCATTGAAAATTATCCGTTAGTGACTTTTTTAATTGTGTTTGATGAAAAATATTAATTATCATAAGGCTTATTAGATAATAAGTTCATCTATTATGCCCTACACGTATATCACCCAAATTTTTAGAAAATCACTTAAAACTTTTTGTAAATCACACATTTACACCAAGCCAAAAAATCAACAAAACTGATTTTTTTTATATATAATCGATTTAAGTTCTGCAACCAGTAAAAATGAAGAGTTCGGTTCGTATTAAAATTTTCCTCCACTCCAATCAAACTGAACTGATTACACCTCTGGTTGAGACTCGATGAGCAAATTTTGAAACTAATTTTATGTGTCGAATAGGTATTGCTTCGAGATCCACTGGATGATAATGTTATCCCTGTTGTTGAGGAACTACAAAGGCGATTGCCCCTTATAAATTCCATTCGTGAAGGCCAAGAAGATGGAAATGAGTTGGGTGACCAACAAGATGTTGAAGCTGATGAAGAAGATGGTATGCCACATTACTTACTTATCTTCCTTTTTTAGGAAAAAATACAAAAAGAACCTCAGGATTTGAATCTTGTAATAAAATAAAATTTTAATTTTAATTTTATTAATTTAAACTCTAATCTTTTAAAAAAAATGTATATATCAATCTAAAGCAATTGTCTATTTTTATTAAGTAAAACTTCTAGAAAAAGATATTTTAGATATTTTTGGTACACTTATATTGAGTATAATAATTAAAATATTATTTTTTTGTCAACAAAAATAGACAAGTAGTTTAGATTGAAAATAAATCAGCAAACTATAATTTAAATTGATAAAATTAAATATTCAAGATTTATTTTGTTACAAACCTTGAACCTTAGAGGTTTTTTTATTTTTATTTTTTTTATTATTAATTATAATTCAACCGGTTGCCCCTGGTACAAATTTGATGAAAGTACACCGTTGGAGCGAGTGGTATCAAATTGGTAAAATGAGTCATTTTTTACTCAAATTTGGTGAAAAATCTGAGTAACCGTTGGAGATGCTCTTAGAATAACAAAAAGAAGTCCCCCCTTTGGAAATTTTGACATTCTTTCCTGGAATGATTTTGAATAACATATGCCAACAAAGAATATAACGAAACAGTTCAAGTTTAAAATTAAAATAAAATATAGAGAAATTACACTCATAGTTCATGCAAAAAAATTTTTTTTTGGGTGTCAATCTAGTTTATTTTATTCTTGAATTTCTCCTAATGTGTTCAATTGTTAATGCCCCTTTAAAAATTAGATAGAAGTTAAGGGACAGAGGATTTCACTATCTTAAAAGTTATTCGAGAGTTGATGTCTAATTTTAAATGATCTACTTTCCTTTGAATGGACCATTTTGTCTATAACTTTTTGTTCAATTTCTAAACTGATATTATTAATTAGGCTAAATTGTCACAATATAAAAAATTAAAGATAAAAAATTTAATAGAATTGGAAGTATATAAACCAAATTGACACAAGGTAAATTACAAGTATTACTAGTAAAATTTAGGAGAAATTACAATTCAGCCCATATTTCCAAAATAAATTTTAAATCAATAATAAAGTTTATCAACTTTAATAATTGAAATTATAAATTTTTCCATCACCTTGTAAGTTTTTTTAGTCTTCCAATTGATTCACAATTTCCCCTATAATTTATCCAATAAAATAATATTAAAATACTGCCCTTTTTTTTTTTTTTTTTGAAAATTTAAACTACATATCGCAATCGTTTTACTTTAATTTTAAACTTGGACCATTAAATTATTGTAATAAAATCATTGCAGAGAAAAAGATGACAATGAATCTTGATCTCAATGTTTTTAGCTTTCTTAAAAATGTGTTTTTCTCTCTAGAACCCTTACTATCAATTCCATATTTTCAAAATCACTTTTCTTTTTTTTTTTTCTCATAATTATTTTTAATTTTTAATTTTTTTAATTTTTTGTGTGGCCTGTATTTGATATTTTAATAATTTGAATAATGTTTATATAGAATCTCCATTTGAATTTCGGGCATTGGAGGTAGCTTTGGAAGCCATTTGCAGTTTTTTTAATGCTCGTGCAACAGAGCTGGAGACTGGTGCTTATCCAGCTTTAGATGAACTCACTTCTAAGGTGTGCTTTTTTAATTTTTTTTATACTGTATTTTGTTAATGGATTTGGATAGGTATTTAGGAATTTAAAAAGAAAATATAGGTGAAATATCATTAAAATAGAGTTATATTTCACATACCATTTTCTTTTCTAAATTCTTATCTAAATTCATGATCTAAACACAGCCTTAATAGACATATTTAGATTCGAGATCAAAATGCAACAAAATCATACTTTGGAATGTTGTGTGTGTTTGATCTTTTTGATTTTGTCAAAATTTCATGTAAAATTTCAAAAATATTCTGCCTTTCATTGTTAATTTTGAAGATGTGATGCTAAAGAATAAAGAGTAATTGATTGCATATTTTAAAGACCAAAAAATTTAAAAGGTTAGAGACTAAAACATAGTAGATCACATATTTAAGGTACATTAGAGGAATATACCCTAAGAAAGGTAAAATTTATAGAAGATTTATAAATATGTTTTTTCTTTATTTTGAAAACCAATTAGTTGAAAGAATTAAAGGGTGCACGAATTTTTAAACCTTACCCAATTTTGACATAATGTTAACGTCAAGAAAAAAAGAAGTGATTTTAATTTTATTTATGTTAAAAAAATAATTTTCATTTAGGATTATGTATTTAAAAATGTTTTTAAAAATTATTTATAATCAATTTTAATGTTATTTTAATGATTTATATTCATATACAGTTAAATTATAAGAAGGGTAAATAAAGTATTTTATAGGATTTAAAATTAGACACAAATCATAAAAAAAAAAAAAAATTGAACTTGTTGATCATTAAAAAAGTTTACAAGGTTTTTTTATACTTAAAAAAAAAAATGAAAATGAAAAAAGAACTTATTTGTATAAAAAAAACATTTTTACAACTTATTTGTGTATATTCAATGGTCGAAATCAACCCTCACATGATTCGATTAAATTTGATTCTTGTAAACCAAATACGGTCTTAGTTTCTTCCTATTAGAATGACCATGTTTACCTGTTTGTGTAAGTGAATAGTTTCGATGAAATTCTTCTTCCTTAGGGTGAGTAAGTCCCATCAAATTTGAATTCAAATTTTATGCAGAGCTTAGAACATTTCTGCTTCCAAAAAAATGAGTATTTTCCATTTTAGCTCAAGGCTTTTAACAAAATTGTTGTTCAATGAAGGTGTCTATGTATCACCATGAATTCCATTAGTATTTATGCAATCTTTATAAGACTTGTTATTACTATTATTATTTTTAAAAAGCTGGAAATGCCTCCATTGGTCTATTTTTATGCACTTGGTATTTGTTATGTATTCCTAATTTTCCAAATGACAAATTTGATTTTGTAGATTAGTACCCGTAACTTGGATCAGGTTCGTAAATTGAAGAGTGCAATGACAAGGTTAACTGCTAGGGTTCAAAAGGTATAACTACTTCCTATCATAGCTTCCAAGTTTTTTTAAATCATCAAAATCCTTTCTTTTCTAACATGGTCATATTTGCATTTAGTGTTGATGTCTCTTATTCGGCTTTGATGTTTTAATGTTGAATGACCCATGATGTCCCGAATTCTGTGCTTTCGATAATAATTGTGCTTATAAATCAATTTGATCTATGCTCACTAGTATTTCTACCTGTAGGTGAGAGATGAGCTTGAACAATTACTGGACGATGATGATGATATGGCTGATCTTTACTTGTCAAGAAAATTGGCAGGCCCATCTTCGCCTGTTAGTGGCTTGGGTGCTGCCAATTCGTGTCCTGCTTCACCTACCATAGGTTCGAAGAAATCTAGAGCAAGTAGGGCAAGTGTGGCAACATTTCGTGGAGACGAGAATGATGTTGAGGAGCTTGAAATGCTACTTGAGGTTATGACATTGACCTACTTCTTTGTTTGTTATGTCCTCTTAATTTTAGTAGCTCTTCTACTTGCACATAAATCAATCATAGAATCTGATCTATCATGTGAGTGTGAAATCTATATCATGTGAGGTAGTTGTGTCCGGTTTAGTAATCATTTTCTGTGTTGTACTTATTATAATTTTAACGTCTCGGTGGTATATTTGCAGGCTTACTTCATGCAAATTGATGGAACTTTGAACAAATTGAATACAGTATGTTGCGTAACTAGCATTGAATTTCTATAATTATTTCTGCTTACCAATTTGTATTGTTGATTATCAGTTTGTGGCAATATAATTATGATGAGCAATATGAAATTAGTGAAAACTTTCTCTGAATTTTTATTAAACACAATCAATTGCTAACTAGTTTCAATTTCTTAGAATCCTATTTACAGGAGAAGTGGCTTGCAAGCTATGCCACAATTCGAGTAATTACTTCCTGATAATGTCATGATCACAGAAAATAAATAAATAGAAAAAACAAAATTTCTAAAACAATTTGGAATCTAAAATGAAAAGAAATTTCTTTAAAAAATTCTAACTCAAAATGAATTTGGCTAGAGTTCTGAATTAAGTAATCATTAATTTCCAAAAATAGTAAAATTTTAAATTTGAAGGCATAAACGAAGGAATTTGGCCAAAATTTACCACCAGCCACCGCGTAGCTATAATTTGAGATAGTTGAGCTGTTTTGGATCGAATATGGTTTGTCAGCTAATCCGACAAGTTGAAAAATTTGTCAAATTACAATTTTGCTAGCAAACTATCAAATTACTCCATGAACGTCCTCTAATTGTAGTAAAATCATTTAAAATGAACAAACAACAACCAAAGGAAGTTCAAGAGGGTACCCCTAATTAAAATTGTAGCTAAGATTCTTTGGCATTCCATATTGAAATCATCAAAATAATCTATTTATTTGTCTATAGCTGATTGAAAAATCCCCTTTATTGCATCATCAGAATTGATTCATATTCTTAAATTTTGCAGCTGCGCGAGTTTATTGATGATACAGAAGATTACATTAATATTCAGGTAATCAACTGGAAATGGGAACAAATATGTAAATTGAATTAATTGATCAATTTAAATAGATTTAGATTTACTTTTGTTGTTCTAAATACACTTCATGTTTCCGTTTTCCAGCTTGACAATCGTCGAAATCAGTTGATTCAGGTAATGTATCAATTATGTGTACTTTATACCTCATTGAATACATTGATTTCTTGTTCTGTTTTTGTGTATTTGAAAACATTGTTGGGACAATACATTTATCTTATTATTATTATTATTATTATTATTTTACTTTGTTTGTGCAGCTAGAGCTTTTTCTAACCTCTGCAGGTATTTCTGTGTCACTTTGTTCAACGATGGCTGGAATATTTGGAGCGAATATCCCATTTACTTGGAACTCAAACCACAGTTACGTGTTTAAATGGGTATGCATACAATTTTGAATATAAGTGCACAAAATCCAATTCACACAGAATTAGACACAACTCTTTCACGTGAAGTTGTCTAATTTTGCGATGGGATTTCGTAACTGATAAAATTTTGAATGTAAGTTTTATTTCGGTTAATTTGAATGTTCTTCTTATTGTTGCCAGGTGGTAATCGTCCCTGTGGCATTTTGTACCTGCATTTTTATACTTATCATTTACTATGCTCGCTGCAAGGGTCTGGTTGGATCTTGAAATTTATAAGTAAGAATTATTTAAATTACAGTAGAGGTAATTGTAGTTTTTGTAATGGATCTCCCGTTCGAAAGAAGTGCAGATGGATCCGTGGGTCTCACGGGTTTCACTTTGTTTTGTAAATCATTATATATAATATTGATATGACGATTGTTTTTTCATATATTTTTATGAAAAGAAATTGATGGTCTATTCAATAATCATAATTTTTTAAAAAATAGACCCGATACAATTATGTGATGATGATTATTGGATCAATTGAATTTTTTTCTATAAATTTCATGAATGATCTACTTGTAAGGCTCTAAAAAATAAACAACTTAAGTCATTGAAATGAAATTTGTTGTGACCTCCATGAACCCAGCTGGATCGGACTGCACTTCTGTCCTGTACCTTATTGAGTTTGAATTTTCTTTTGATTTTTTAGACGGCTCTTATTAGCTACGTGAATTAATAAGTTCTCTCTCTACCTTTCACCATGAAATTCCAGATTGCAAAGAAGATCCAGCAGCCGTGTTATTTGCAGCCTAGCCTGTTTCGGGTGCGAACATAGATAATTATAAACAGCTTTGTAGAGTCATATTTTACTCATTTGATCTTTTGATTTGGAGTCCCTTGTTATTTTGTTCTTTATATATGAAGTTGGGTCAATTATAGTGTCCTTTTTTTTTGCACAATCTTAGTAATTATGTGCTTTGTTAAATATAAGTAATGAAATAAGTTGTTTCTATCCGGATCAAATTCAAGTTACCTTTTTGTTATTTTTAGTATGGATCTGATTTCAGAATTCATTATTGGTTTTGTTAGGATTAAGGCACACCAGAAATCAATCACACACAGAAAAGAGACGAAATATTTACGTGATTCGGCAATAACCTACGTCCACGGGAGAGATATCGACTATAGAAATTTTCCCGAAGGGAGTTGTACAACACTCACACCTCACTGTCTCTCTATAGCACTCTCACTCAAGATTACACTCTTTGTGTTTCCTTCTCTTTCTGATTGATTTAACTCAGCTCACCTCTTCCCATTTTATACACAAACGGGAAGGAACAAAAGTCAAGGAAGAGGAGTAATTGGGAGGGCTACCACCTGCCATCTCCCCTCCTACTTCTTGACTTGGAGAGCCAACCAGCCAACCTTCAACTACTCCATGTGGGCTGGAGTTAATAGGTTCATAAACCATGCAATCAGTGTAAACCATGTTTTTGAAGGTCTTTAGTGCTGGGTTATTTCTAAATGTATTTATTTAATTTTTTTCTTTTTTCCCAAGTAATTTTACAAATGGTTGTTAGATTATTATGTGAATCGTTAGATTTTTTTCCCTAAGAAAATAATTAGTTGGGAGAGTTACGGGCCAGCTCTTTGGACCAGACTTAATTCTCATGATATCTTGACCTAAAATAATTTAGTTCATCTTCCCATTTTACCCTTAACATGATCACTCAACCATTCCATTCTCTTCAACCGTTCGTCTCTGTCAAGTTGATGGTCGTTAGGATCTGTGAGGGGAGGGGTGAGATGCAAAGAGAAGGGGAAAGAGATGGAGAGAGGAGACTGAAATACTTCTCTCATCTGGTTTAAAATCGATGTCCAAGAGCATCTTTAATGGTGTATTTTTTTCGTAAAATTTGAATAAAAATTTGAGTAAAAATTCTATTTGATATCAAGTGTTTCAATGGAGAATTTTGAGTTTTAATCAAAATACTGGTTCACCTGGCGGATGTTCGGCCGGTCGACCAGTTAGTGTAATTTTTTTAATAAATTTTTGTAAAGAGATAGTCATTCAGGGGACATCTGGTGGTGAAAATCTAACGACTATGCACAATGATTTGAAGAAAACTCCTTACCATCCTCAATTTGGTGAAAGATTTTTCATATCCTTAATTTGATACTCATTTGATGAAATTATTAAATTAAAAAAAAAAGATGATATTTTATTAAATTTAAATTTAATAAAAAAGAAAAATGGTTGAGACCACCAAAAGTGGTGCTCTAATAGCGTCACTAATGATGTGGCAGTAGCCCACTGCCTATGCCTTTTTTTTTTTGACATTTCCAATGCATTAGTGCTATTAGTACTCTTCTTTTTAGTGGTATGAATCATTGTTAAATAAAAAAATTAATGATATATTGGAGATGTCTAATAAATTTAAATTTTGAAATTATGCGATTATTGAATTTAGGCTGGTTGAGGAGTGAGAAAACACATCAAACACGGAGACAGAGTTAACCATACGAACTCTGTTTGATAGGGGTGGGTGTAGGGTTATCCGAACCGTATAACCCGCCTAACCTAAATCAATCCGCATACAAATAGGTGATTTCATAGATACAATGTGGATGGATGCGGTTTGGAATATGGCATAATTGCGGTTGCGGACAAGATTTAACCCACACTCGCAAGAATCTGCCCGTACTTAGATATATATATATATATATATTTTAATAAAAAAAACCTAGGCCTGTTGATTTCATTCAACCTATCCTAGATATTTTTGGCCAACACACCAAACCTTAATGTGTGAGTGATTTTCTGACCACACTACTCGCTTAATAACCAGCTGGAGAGCACCGGCAGAATAGATGGCACCTGGCTGACTTGCAACAGAAAGAGAAGATTCCGGCGGTGGTTCGTCCACCCGGGGGCACTCCGACGATCAAGTCAGTATATCTCTCAAAGATAAATCAAGTGCTAAACTCACAAGCTTGAGTATCAAAAGCATACCTTAGACCCATAGGGGTGCCTCTCTTTTATAGCCAACATAAACCTAGTCCCAATAGAAGCCTAGCTCCAATGGACTTAGGATTACTGCTAATCTTGGACTCCCAGTTGAATTAGGATAAACTCGCTAAGAGTCTTATCTTAATCCAAACGGAAGTCTTCTCCCATTCTAGGACTCTTGTCCCTTATCCGTTTATTTCGGATTCCGATATCTTCGGAGGTAACCTCGGCCTATCCGAGATGACTGGAGGTCGGGAACCCATCGAAGAATGTGAGTGGAGCAATTTCAAAGCTCGTGGAGTTTACGAATTAATGGAACAAGAACCTCGGCTAGAAGGTGTGATCTCGAGCAGCTTGGAAAGCATGAAGCTTGATACTTGATAGAAGTGGACAGTAAAGTCTAGGAAACTTTGAGGTCGGCGAGTTTGATCTCGGACAGAGGGGCACACATGAACGAACAGTGTAGGTTCCATCGAGGTAATAAAACCTAGGGGGCAGTTGTGGGGATGTATTTTCTGAGTACCAACACGTGGCCAAGGTGACGCCGACGTGTCAGCCGAGGTGCCACGTGTCCTGGTTGTTATGCCGAGGTCATCTTAGATAGGTCGAGGTTACCTCCGAAGATATCGGAATCCGAAGTAAGCGGATAAGGGACAAGAGTCCTAGAATGGGAGAAGACTTCAGTTTGGATTAAGATAAGACTCTTAGAGAGTTTATCCTAATTCAACTGGGAGTGCAAGATTAGCAGTAATCCTAAGTCCATTGGAGCTAGGCTTCTATTGGGACTAGGTTTATGTTGGCTATAAAAGAGAGACACCTCCATGGGTCTAAGGTATGCTTTTGATATCCAAGCTTGTGAGTTTAGCACTTGATTTATCTTTGAGAGATATACTGACTTGATCGCCGGAGTGCCCCCGGGTGGACGAACCACCGCCGAAATCTTCTCTTTCTGTTGCTGGTCAGACAGGTGCCATCTATTCTGCCGGTGCTCTCCAGCTGGTTATTAAGCGGGTAGTATGGTCAGAAAATCACTCACACACTTAATTTCATGATACAAAAAAAATATTGTAGAGAACATTGTTTTTGAATGTTTTTGTTTTTGTTTTGTTTTGTTTTGTTTTTTTTCTCTGTGAACATTGTAAGAAATTGAATCTACTTCTTCATGAAGGGGAAATTGAATCTATTAATTACTTTTGAAATTAAAATCAATCTTATATTATATTGAATTTGAAAATTGAAATTGAATCTGAAAATTGAAAAAAGTCCAATCTGCAAACTGCCTACACATCCGCGAATCCTATCCGCACAAACCGCAATCTGCATTGTGGGCGGTTGCGGGTTAAATTTTTTCCAAACTACATATATGCAGATAGGTCCAAACCAATCCGCAAACCATCCAAAACCGAACCGCGAACACCCTTACTGTTTGACATCTGTTAGAATGATATTTTTGGCTAAATTAATTAAGTTGATGTGGATGGATTAACTGGAAAACAAGTTGGGAGGCATGCTTTGATTGGTAAAGAGCACTACATGACACATAATGCCCTTAGAGCATTGAATAATATCTCCCAATACAGAGTACTGCTCAGCCCCTATTTCTAGCATTGGACTTGTTGCAATAAAGTTTCTAAACATTAGGCTGGTTTGGTAAAGCTGTGGAAAAATGATTATAAATTATAACTTATAGTTGTGAACATAAACTGGTAACTTGTTTGGTACAATTGTGGGATTATGAATTTAAGCAGCAGAGTAGTGTTTGATAAATAAGCTGTAAAATAGCTTTTTGTTGTATAATTGTCATTTTTACCCTTATGAATATAAAAAAAATGTAATTTTATCATTTTATTCACTTTAAATTTTGAAAAAGTTATTTCATTAATGAAAATTAGTATAATTAGTACCTATATAGGTATATTTTTACATGACCTCAAGTTTTTTTTTTTAATTTTTAATATAAACTTCACAAGGGAACAAGAATATGTCATTGCAAACTTATAGTTGTGAACATAAACTGGTAACTTGTTTGGTACAATTGTGGGATTATGAATTTAAGCAGCAGAGTAGTGTTTGATAAATAAGCTGTAAAATAGCTTTTTGTTGTATAATTGTCATTTTTACCCTTATGAATATAAAAAATGTAATTTTATCATTTTATTCACTTTAAATTTTGAAAAAGTTATTTCATTAATGAAAATTAGTGTAATTAGTACCTATATAGGTATATTTTTACATGACCTCAAGTTTTTTTTTTAATTTTTAATATAAACTTCACAAGGGAACAAGAATATGTCATTGCAATAAAAATATAATAAATTATTATTAAGGCAATAAAAATAAAACTTCCTACATATTAGATAACTCTTAATTTTGTCTACAAATTGACATACAAATGTTATGTCTCCTCACTTCCATCTCATTGTCATCACCTTTAACCTAATTGCCATGGTGTGCTTGTTGAGACCTTGATCCTTCCTCTTCATTAGGCACATAATCCGTGAATTTATCATAAGAGTCAAATGCAATATCGCGGGATTGACTTCTTCGGATGAAATTATGAATTGACATTATTGCACAAACAAATTTGACTTGGGTCAGCCACTTATAGTTTGGTGGGATATCCTTTATCATCGGCCATCTTGCTTTCCAAACCCCAAACATTTTTTTTATTATACGACTAAGTGATGACTGTGCTTGGTTGAATTTTTCTTGTGCATTTTGGGAGGAGGGGTTGACCATGTTCAAATTCAGCTAGATGGTACCCCTTTCCTTTGTAAGGTGCAAGATATCCTTTCATGTTTAAATACCCGGCATCCACAAAGTAAAACTCATTTATTTTAAAATTTTAAATATTAATAAAATAAAGTAAACAATTATAAATGGAAAAAAAAAATTTGAAGATGTGAGTGTGGTGCATCTACTGTAGCAATCAAATATAAAATAGTTACCTCCTTGTGGTTTTGAAAAATTATAACTAGGATTCCTAATTGTATCTAAGAAGATCTAAGCATCATGTACACTT